GAGGGTGCCTTTTCCTGGGCCTCCTAAAATCCCAGCAATAGATGTTCAATAGATATTGATTGAATGGAATAAATGAAAGCCCATTTTTAAAAGTTGCACAGATGGTTCTGATGTGTAGCCAAGTTTGGGAACCACTGCTTAAAAAACCCAGCTGTCAGGAGCCTGATGAGGGTGGGATACAGAACCACACTGGGGAGCGGGAGACAAATGATCTCTACGTTGGGGTGAGCCGGTTTCACAATGAAAAAAAGCACAAGCATAAAATTAAGAACAGAGCTCCAGTCCGCGAACTTACTCAGGAAGTCCTTAGGTTTCCATTTTTCTTTGATGAATATGATTCCTATGATGGCGCTGGCTGTAAAAAAAAAAAAAAAGCACAGGGAGAAGAGCATTGAGGCTGCCATCAGTCAAATGGAGTCCCTTCGCCAGTGCCCTTTGGGTTGGCTCATTTGCGTTGGAGCTTGCCTAAGCTCTCACTCGTGCTCCCAAGAGCTCAGTCTCTTGTTATTAGAAACAGAGGCTCCTCTCTGAGCCTCCCTGAGGATTTCCTACAAGGAACACCGGGGGCTGAATACTTGCTGTGTGACAGGCAACTTACACAAGTTATTTCTGGCGTGTTTGCTCTTTGAGGTGGGCACTGTTATGATTCCATGTGGAAAATGGGGACACTGAAGCTGAGAGAGGGAAAGGACCCGCTCAAGACCATGCAGCTGGCGAGGAAAGGCTGGGCTCAAACCTAGGACTGTTGGAGGCCAGGGCTCTTGCTCCTTCAGAAGGCAATGCCTACCTCTCACATTTCCCCCCCTGGTTCTTTTCTTTTCACTCCCTGACTCTTCCACGTTTGCAGATGTACTCAAACTTGCTTGTGACTGTCCTAAAGGATGGGGCTGGCATTCACCGTGAACAGACCTGGGTTACTATCTCAGGTCTGCCTCCTCTGGCTGGGTAACCTGGGTAGGTAACTTCACCTGAGAGTCAGTCTCCTAGTCTCTGAAATCGTGTGCTGGATCCAGCCTTCAACAGCTTGCTGAGGGTTAATAGTCAGGAAACCATTGGTAGCTTGGAATCAGCGACAGTGTGGGTATTTACACCCTTTACATCAGAAACATTAAAAATCAGGTCTTTTTCTTCCACTTTTCTGTCCCTTCCCATCTTCCCTCCCTCCCTCCACCTCCTCTTTCTTTTCTTTTTCTTCTTCTCTCATTCTCTCGAGTTGGTTTATCAGCACATCACTGAAAATACCTACTTCTCAGAGTCATAGGGGTAATTAAATGAGATAATATATGCAAATCACTTAGTACATGCTCAATAACTGAGTAATTATTATTACTATTAAAGTACCTGGAACAGTAACTAATAAGTAATAGGTACCCAATAAATGGTGATTATTATTTTTTTAATATTATTTTTCACTTGTTCACTTAAGAAATTCTAAGAGCCCCTTAATTTCTAGGGGATGATATGTGAAGTCCCATCATTATAATTCAGCCCATTTTTAAGAATTTGGTTATTTGATCCTTATTAAAATTCAAAGACTAAGATTTAAAGTACTTAGTCATTCAGTCACATATTCCTCATTGTCAATAAAGGTTCTGAGAGCCCTTTGGTTAGATGAGCAATGGGCAGAGGACAAAGCTAAATACCTATTGGGGCTGGGCAACAACAAAGATGTAGAAAGCGGGCCAGATGTAAGACAGTAGAGAGAAGCTGAGACTACGGCAGACGACTTGCCTCAACTAAAGGCACTCAAATGATATTTTGAAATGATACTGGGTGGGAAAGGACACAGCATGCCTGAGGACCTCAGTCATCTTGTAGGCTGCCTGAGGACCTCAGTCATCTTGTAGGCTGCCTGTTTACCAACCCTGGTCAAGAAAAAGAGGGGCTTTCAATAAATAGGATCAGGGAAAGCAAATAGATCTCCGCTCCTCTGCCAACTCCTAGTAATTGGTAATGACTGCCTGAAGCTCTGAGAATTCTGAGGGCCCATCCAGGATCACTATGATTGATTAGTGATATCTGCCTTGGGTACTGCAGGGGCACATAAATGCCATGCATATGCCATCCCTGGTATTGAAGAGGCCCTCTTAATTCCAGGAGGATTAAGACTCAGAATAGGATTTTCTCCTTTAAGAGCAGAGATGAGCTTCTCGGCACTGTAATGCTTACCAGCAGGATGGAAGGAAACATTTCAAAGCAAGTTCACTGTCCCTGCTCCTATGTACAAAAAACTACTGTCCACTAAATCTACTAACATCTTTTACTTAAGAAGAATTTTTTTTCTAATTCTATTTTATTTGTGACTTCATGGACATTAAGACTCCTTTGTCTTCCAGTTGGTTCAAACGTTCTGAAACACTGGTTCAGTGATTACAGAAATCATAGAAAAATGGCAGATGAGAAAGTTAGTGGTGTTTTAAAAATGGTATCAGTTGATGTAAAAAGATCAGAGAATAAGCTGAATGTGCATTACTTAGAGGTGCGAAATACCTGAACTCTGAAAGCTTAGTTTATCTTGACGGTGTTAGGATGAATGTGTCAAGGTTTATCTTCCTTCTGCAGTAGAAATAAAAAGCAATTCTGATAAACTTTCCAAATCTTAAACAGATTCTGGAGGCAGACAGCCAGTTTGCATCCCAGCCCTGCTTCTCGCTAGCTGTGTGATTTGGGGAAAGTAACTTCACCACTCTGTGCCTCGGTTTCCTCATCTGTAAAATGGGGATAATAACAGTATCTCCCTCAAAAGGCTGCCAGGAGGATTAGAAGAATCACTATCTGTAAAGTGCTTAGAGCAAGTCCTGCTGAGTATGAAGCCCTTTGTAAGTGTTAGGTATTACTAGCAAAGCAAAAGCTGGTTTGGTGAGTCTCTTTGATACTGGTGGTGACCTGCTCACAGAGGTGTGCAAGTCCCAAGGGAGGGGCGGGGTAGGAGCTGGGTCTTACCTATCACGGAGACGGCACTGAGGGGCACAATCAGCGAGAGCGGGGCGAAGGCGTAGGAGGCAAACACGCCCAGCTCGCCCAGCAGCATCAGGAACAGGCCCAGCCACCATGTCTTGGTCTTGAAATAGGCCCGAGGGTCCTTGGAGCCCGCAAGGCGGATGTGACAGTACTTCTAGAAATCCGAGAAAGAATGCGATTTGTCCAGATCTCCAGGAAAAAGATGCTAAGATGCACGAATCCTAAATCCACTCCCTACTTTTAAAAATAGTTTGGGGAGACCTGTCAAGTTTTTGTGGAGTTCTGACTCAGAGAAGAGTAAAGCAGTAGTGATCTAAATCTTAGGTTGCTATTCTGAGACAGTAGTTCTCAAATTGGCTGGGAAGCCTTAAATTCCCTGGGAAGCTTTGAAAAACTTTACGTGCCTGGGCCTCATCCTCAGCGGGGAGATGTGCGTGGGGCCTGGAAATGTGCATTTCTGATGCACATCACAGGCAACGAGCAGTCTGGGGTGGGAGCCATGATCTAAGGACCCCCACTTTAGCCTGGCCCTTAGGTTGACTTTTCCTTGTAATAGCAATACCCAGGAGTCCCTGTGTTCAGTGTGCCCACTTGGATACACTCCTTTCTGTAGAGATGCTGGCTGCTCTGCTGGGCAGTCCTGTGGGTGCAAGTGGACCCTGCCCTCCCTCGGGTGGATACTTGGCCCAAGCATGGACAATATTCCTGGTTCTGGACATGTGAACTTGGGACACAGACCCTGAGGCAGTGACTTAGGAAAGCCAGAAAGGCATGTTGACTTAGAGGGTCAAGGCTGCCATGTGGGGAGGATCTTGACGAGGGCTGCACAGAAGCAGATGCATAAGCAGAGGTGCTGGTCTGCAGAGAGAAGAGAGGGAACCACATAAGGAGCTGAGGGACCATGCAGCCTCGGAAACACACAGAAACACACACGTGTGTGTATGTGGAAGCAGAGTGTTCATGTGCCTGCTCCAGAGGGGCAGAGTGGCTCGCCAAAGCTGGAAGCCGTGCAGCGCCGGGGGAAAGCACTGGCCAGTGTGCTGTGGGATTTGTCCTGCTGGCAGGTGTCAAGTCTGGGACTGGGTTTCCCAGAAGCAGTCCCTGAAACAAGGGCTGGGAGCAGGGAGTTGATTTGGGAGGTGATTCCAGGAAGCGTAAGTCAGGGAGTGGGAAAGTGAGACAGGGAAGGGCGGAGGACCAGTGAAGGGTGCTTTCACGGTGAGTTAGTGTTTTGGGCAACTGGGGCTCAGTCCCTCTGAGAAACCCTGTGAACTCCCCTCAGAACCATCCTACCCAAGGACGGGGGCCTGGAACATTTATCCACTGACTCTCATCCCCCACTGGTTGAAGGCTGCCCCGGGGCATTAACAACGGCCACCAGCACCCAACACACACAGCTGGCTTCACAGCTGCACCTGCAGCCAGTGGGGCCAGTTCCCATGGTGTCGTCAACTGGCTCTAAACCACAGCTGCCTGTGAGCTCAACTAGGCCGAGGAGTTATGGGGCAGGGCGTAGACAGCAGCTGCTCCAAGGCACCCCCAGAGACTTTTAAGTAACGGAGAGCACTGTCTTCATAGTTGAGGGGTGATGGGGGATGAAGCGGGGGCAAAGAATCAAGAGAGATTCTGGAACAACCTAAAAGGTATTGTCCCAGCCCTGGGATGGAATAGGCAATGTCCCACAGAGAGGAGGCAGCTGGGCCTGCACCAGATACCCTGGCTATTGGCTGTATCTCTGTCCCAGGCAGTGCTGGTGACTGAAACGTACCTGGAGGTTAAGTGCAATGCTGACCACAAGGTGTCCGAAAATCGCCAGGAGGGCACCGATCAAGTTTTCCTGTAAGGAAAGTTCACAGGAGCAGACATGAGCTGGGCCTAAGCCAAAGGGCCCCAGGACACATTTGAATCCAACTGTTTGTTGTCCCAAAACAAAACCAACAACATCCATCACAAAGCCACGCCCCCCCAGACACTTGGAATTTTTCTACCGGAGTTTACTCTGGCTGCCTTGCTGGTTTACAGAACACGGCCTGCAATGGGACACTACCAGAAAGCACCATCCTTTGTTCTCCAGTCACAAGGACTTGATAAGGCCTAAATCTGCTCTTCCAGTCCCCTAAATGTATTGACTTGGTATGGTCTTGCGCAGAAAAGCAACGTTCAGAAATCAGAATTTACAAAAACACAGGCAGGGATACTATTTGCCATCTAATCAATGGAGTCTTCCTATTCCCAGAGAGGTCTCAATGAGACTCTTTTAAGTGGCAAAGTTGCTTAGGGCACTTTTAATTATTTAATTTATAAAAATTTAATTTACGTCACCTTAAGAATGAGGTTCAGATTCCTTAGCACGGCATTTTTTTTTTTAACTTTATACAATGATTACCAAATGTATATTCACTGTAGAATAATTAGGAAATATAAATGAAAAGAACAATAACGCAAAAAAGATAAAAAGCCACCTGTCACTCTAAAACCCGCAGAGATAGTTACTGCAAACATTTTGGTTTTTGTAAAAAATTTTTTCTGTCCATAAATTTTGATGCCAATGGCAATGTTAATTTATTTTTATTAAAATGTTATAATTTGTTTTATAACCTGTTCCTTTACCTAAGATATGATAAATACATTCTCTTGATAGGCATATCTAATTCACCATTTTTAATAAATGTCAAAATAACTCACCATTTGGATGTGCCATATTTTCTATCATTGCTTCTGTATTATTGGATACTTAGGCTATTTCCTTTTTTAAAAACAATGCTGTGGGGCTTCCCTGGTGGCGCAGTGGTTGAGAGTCCGCCTGCTGATGCAGGTGACACAGGTTTGTGCCCCGGTCCGGAAAGATCCCACGTGCCACGTAGCGGCTGGGCCCCTGAGCCATGGCCGCTGAGCCTGCGCGTCTGGAGCCTGTGCTCCGCAACGGGAGAGGCCATAGCGGTGAGAGGCCCGCGTACCACAAAAAAACCCAAAAAAACAATGCTGTGATCGAACATCCTAGTTCATGCATTTTTAAAAATTTTTAATATGCCTCAGCGTATCTTTTTTTCTTTTAAGAAGATGTTGGGGATAGGAGTTTTATTTATTTATTTATTTATTTTTGCTGTGTTGGGTCTTCGCTTCTGTGTGAGGGCTTTCTCCAGCTGTGGCAAGCGGGGGCCACTCCCCATCGCGGTGCGCGGGCCTCTCACCATCGCGGCCTCCTCTTGTTGCGGAGCACAGGCTCCGGACGCGCGGGCTCAGCAGCCGTGGCTCACGGGCCCAGTTGCTCCGCGGCATGTGGGATCCTCCCAGACCAGGGCTCGAACCCGTATCCCCCGCATTAGCAGGCCCCCAACCACTGCGCCACCAGGGAAGCCCCCTAGTTCATGCATTTTTGTGCATTTATGAGGGTTAATCCCTTGGGATAAATTCTTAGAAGTGGGACTGCTGGGTCAAAGTGTACATGGCCCAGCATTTAAACCACACTATGTTACGTGCTCAACACACCCTCCAGCATTATCCCCGCTAAACACCAAAGGAATGCATCATTTTAACCAAAGAGGAATCCTCTCTTCCCAGCATGGGCTTTCCCAACTCCTCCTTTGCTCAAGAGTCTCCTCCTGGGCTTCCCTGGTGGCGCAGTGGTTGAGAGTCCCCCTGCCGATGCAGGGGACACAGGTTCGTGCCCCGGTCCAGGAAGATCCCACGTGCCGCGGAGCGGCTGGGCCCATGAGCCATGGCCGCTGAGCCTGCGCATTCGGAGCCTGTGCACCGCAATGTGAGAGGCCACGACAGTGGGAGGCCCGCGTATGCCAAAAAAAAAAAAAAAAAAAAAAAAAAAGAGTCCCCTCCCACTGGTGCCCTCCCTTGTGAAATCTGCATGTTCTTCAAGGCCTGGGCCAGGCCCAAGTGAACCAGCAGTGAACATCAAGACAAACTCAGTCCAGTAAAAATTAATTAAAAAAAAAGAGAAAAACTCAGTCCTTCAATCCCTCTGGAAGGACAGATAATCAGCAAGCAGTAAGGGGGATAAAGTCAACCCTCCATCCCGCCTCCTGCCCCCCTCTTCCCTTCCCTCTCCCAGAGTGCTGAGGGCCCATAGAGCTGAGGGGGCCTTCCCAGAGAAGGCGCAGTCACTGTGGGATAGGGCAGGAGGAGGGCAGAGGAGGCCTGCTGATGGAAACCACCGTGGCTGTCCCCGACTTCTCCCCCTCAAGGTGCAGTGCTGCAGCATAAAGGAAAGATGCTGAGCTGGGTGCCCGGAGACCTGGGTTCTGGTCCCAGCTCTGCCACCACGTCGCTACATGGCCTCAGACAAGTCCCTTTCCCCTCACCAGGCTTGTGTGTCCTCTCTGGATGACCTAAGTGCTGGCCCAGACGACTGCTAAGGGCCGCTCCGGCCCTGACCCAAGCTTCTGGTCACAGCCAGACTGCTCAGAGAAACCAAGTGATGATCATGCCAGACAAGAAACCGACCAATTCATTTCACATAAAATAGCTCATTAACTGGAGGTTACTGGGGGCATCTCCTGGGACCCAACGGAGCTGGCTTCCACTGCTTCCCAATACGGCTCTCAGCCTGAGCTGCACTGGCCCGGTCTTTCTCCATCTCCACTGTTTCATGTTTTTTGGTTTCTTTTCAGTTAAACAGAAGCCATGTCCTTCCTGCAGGATCATAGAATCTCAGAGCTAAAAGGGTCACTGGAGGCCAATCAGGCCAGGGTTCCCAGATATGTCAATGGGGTTCCAAGGCAAAAGGCATCATGTGGTTAGATAAGTATGCGAAACGCTGTATCCTCCATCCAGTGCACTGACCCAGTAGAGGCTCTCAGAGGCAGTTTCTCCTTGTCTAGCTCAGGTTTCCCAAACCCATTTGGCTCTAGAGCTCTTAGCTTAGAGTCCATCCACTGGCATCTGTAGTACATCTGCGATTCTCACCAGCCTGACATTTTAATCACTTTCCTCTCCTTCTGGTAACAGCACCCCGATTGTGCTGTGGAGGACTCCCTGCCTTCCCCCTGCCTCCTCATTGGATAGTCCTGTTGGGACTGTCATTCAAAGGGCTCCAGTCTCTTGGGGCTTCCCTGGTGGCGCAGTGATTGAGAGTCCGCCTGCCGATTCAGGGGACACGGGTTCATGCCCCGGTCTGGGAGGATCCCACATGCCGCGGAGGGGCTGGGCCCGTGAGCCACGGCCGCTGAGCCCGCGCGTCCGGAGCCTGTGCTCCGCAACGGGAGAGGCCGCAACAGTGAGAGGCCCGCGTACCGCAAAAAA